GACAGGGCATGCACTCTCCAATTCGCCACAGTTCCCACCACTCCCTATTGCCTCATTCATTTACAATATCTTCAGATTTTTTAGAGTTTGTCATTTGTGCCTTAGAGCTACAAGTAGCTCAAAGGGCAAAATCGTGGCTTTGGATTTTAAAAAATTGCTCATGATAGAACCCTACTGCATGGATCCCCCTACCTACACACACACACACACACACACACACACACACACACACACACAAATAATTGCCCCCTGTCCTTCTGTGAACATAGAACTCTTAGTAAAATGATGTCAGCAAAATCTCAGATCACTACATTCCTGGGAGCACTCGGACTCTGCCAGGGATGTGTAGTTTTCTTTATGAAGCAGGCTGTCCACGGAGCTCTAGGTACTTCCTCTTGTTGTATAGCTGCTTGAGGTCACTGCCAATAAATTACTAGTTTAAGGAAAAACAATGACAAGCCTCTTCCATGGAGAACACAGTTTTCTCACTCAATTACTTCCTAAAGTCATGCCCTTTTCCCCAGCTTGACACCATAATTTCTGAAACAGCAGCATTGAGTCTATTTGTTGTTGTTCATCAGATCCGCAAAGCCACACCTGCAAAGCCACACCTGCAAAGCCACACCACACCTACCACCTGAGCACACCAAACTTTAGGAGAAATGCATCCTTTTGGCAGTGGAATTAGTCAAGTAATGATAACTGCATTGTCAATTAAGTAGCTGCTTTATTAAAATTGCCTTACCAGGGTGACTCTAAATTGGCTGTATTGTTCGCCAGTCTCGTTTTTCTCTCTGTATAGGAGATTTTGTTGACTGCTACACTTATCATTAATAATCTCATTTTAATAAAGTCAGAATGCAAGATATGGCAGCTTTAGTTACCCAGAAAAACAGTAATGATTTTCCAAAATTGGTGTACAGCTGTAAGACGGAAGGTTTAGCTTTATTTTCCAGTCATTTTCACTTGCCATTGTTGGAGACAGCAGGAGTTGAGGAAGGAGTAGAGCTGGGTACAGTGGGGTGGGGCACCATTTCTCCCACTTCACACCAGCTTCCAAATAGTTGACACTTGACCCTGGCTCAGGGGACTGAGTGCTGGCCTGCAAACCAAAATGTCACAGGTTCGATTCTTAGTCAGGGCGCATGCCTGCGTTGCAGGCCAGGGCCCCAGTTGGGGGTGTGCCAGAGGCAGCCAACTGATGCATCTCTCACACCTTGATGTTTCTCTCCCTCTCTTTCTCCTTCCTTTCCCATCTCTCTAAAATAAATAAAGTCTTTAAAAAAGAAAGAGAAAGAAAGAGTTGATATTTGATGGCATTGTCTCTTTGAGATTTGTAGCTCTTTGCTACAATTACATGTCCCTGGGAAATAGCCTCCTTTTTTTTATCGCTTGGGAATACATTAACTTTGTCCCTTCAAGTATCCCCTACTGCCATTAAGGAAGCCCCCCCCCCCCACCGCTTTCAGGAACAAAAATAGATATTTTCCTTTTAAGATAAATGGGAGGGGACAGAGGGACTTGATATATACAGAGGGCCTTTAATGCCACTGTCACCTGCCATCTACCATAGGGAGGAAGTCTGTCCCTAAGCATCCTCCCGGACTGGCTTTGAGCCTACCTGGGGACGGAGTATAATTTTCTGTCACACACAAACACATGTACACACATTCACACACAAATCAACCAGCTGCAGAGCAAGCAACAGGAGGTGGCAGACTGCTTGCCACTGTGTCACTGGATTTGTAAGCATCCTCTCCAAACTATAGCCAAGGCTAGTTATTCCCTGGGCTAAAGCCAAGGTAAGAACTTGGGGACCCTGCCAAAGCCTTGACAGCCCCTAAGCTTAGCTCTGTTGCCAAAGCCACACAGGAAAGCCGTTAACTCATTACATAAATGTTCAGTAAAGTATTAGAAAGCCCATTATTTATTTATCAGTGGGCTGGCTGCACACTGGAAATCTGAGCATTCACTTTAAGGAACCTCAGCTATTAAGGTAAGGGAAGAGAAGAAAAAGCATACACTCATTAAAAAAAAAAAAAAAATGAATAACATCACCAGAAGTGCCATTCAAAGGAGCATGTAAGTAAATGTCAAATGACCTTTCAGAGGAGGGACCTTTCAGAGGCTGAATCACAGCAGTCAGAGAAAGAAGACAGGCCAGGTACAGATAGATCCTCACTGTGTGATCATAGTCAAGTTGCTCGGCCTCTCTGGACTTCAGTTTCCCTACCGATGGAGCAGAGTGGTGCATGCCTTGCAGAGTTGTTGCAGATGATGTCAGCTACACGTTACAAACACTCGATAAATGTTTGAGTTTTTTTGTTTTGTTTTCAACAACATTATAGAGTATTTGAGAAAGTTTAGGTAGGATTGGCCCGGTGAAAAGAAAGGAAGACCATTCCTTGGAAAAAGGAAAAGAGGACTATTATGGAAAATGTCATCATAATCTAGTGAATACTTTAGGAAGTAGAAAGCTAGGAGAGGGGAGGCATTCTATTCTCTTTTAAACTTATTTATTTTTTGACTTTTATGAAACATGAAAATATTTCATATCTACTATAGAAAATATGGAAAGCACAGAAAATGCAAGGAAGAAAGTAAAAACCAAATAATTCTGTACCCAGTGAAAACTCCTATAGACATTTTGGTTTTCCTTCCAATATTTTCCTCAAATTATTTTAACACAGCAGATTACACTATATGCACAGTTTTGGATTTTGCTTTTTACACCTGTTTCACAAACATTTCCCCATGTCATTAAAAATTCTTCTTAACAAACATCATTTGCAATGGCCACATAGAACTCCACATACAAATGTACCAAAATCTCAACTATTCCACTAACAGTAGATATTTAGGGCTGTTCAGGCATTTCACAATTATAAATAATGGTTCCATGAATACCTTTGTAGCATAAATTCAATTTCCTTAGGATAAGTTTCTATGGGTGGAATTACTGTTCTAAGATTCCTGCTGAATACAAAGTGCTTTTTCCAGGGAGAATGTCCAAATTCACATCCCCACCAGCCACAAGGAGAGACAACTGGTCTTATCAAACCTCTTTGAAATCTTTTTACTTAATTTGATAGTCACCAAATAGCATTTCATTGTTCTCGTAATTATCTACTTCCTTTTAAAAGGTAGTCCTCTGATAAAGGAAGGAGGTTTCTTTTGTCTACAAACAATCAAATATTTATTGTGCAAATCATTTTACTCTGAATTCAATCTCTCGCCGCTTTTGGGTGGGCTTGGGAGATTCAGTCTTTCAGATTTCAGCCATTGTGAAGAGTTTGAGGTACAATGCAGCGAACCTGCTGGGTCAAAACTTTGATTCTGCCATTACCAAGATTCATGAAAAGCGAGTCGTGGAACCCTTCTGAAATTCTGGCCCTTCAACGAATAAGGATGCCTGTCTTACCTGGGTTATGCAAATGTGAAGATCCTGACTTTTTATTAATGATTAAATAAAAGTGCTTTTAAATTAAAAGCACTAAATTACAAAATTCTACATAATATTTACTACGATTGATTTTGATGTCATTATTGCGTCCTAAATTGGCAGCTTCTGAGAGTCCCACCTTCTGACCCCAACCCACTATCAGCCTTCAGTAGAGAAGGACCTTCACCGACAAACATTAGGGAGGGGACCCAGACAAAAGGGCGGGGAGGGCAAAGGGTAGGGAATGGTCTGTAGAGAAAAGGTTCCCAGTCTTGGGCTACCTCCGGAACACCTCCATACTTAAAAGTTTTATCTGGAAGAAAAAAGGGAGGGGGGTAGTAGCGTTTAGAGTCCAGTCTGGGCAAGTCCTTCTCTTGGGGACCGTCCCAGGGGTGAGGGGTCTGGAGTCTGCACCGCAGACTAAGCACCGCTCGCACGCTACCCCTCGCACGCTACTGCTCGCACCTCAGTCCCCGCGGTCACTCCAGAGGCCGCACTATTTCTCCGCCCCGCCCCTCATTCCCTCCCCGGCCCCACCCAGGCTCCGCGCCGGCGGGAAGTGGTGAGAGGCTGGAAAGGACTGTCTGGGCGCCCTTAGCAAAACCCAGACCGTCCGGGACTCCTTTAAACGTCCAGCCCGGATCCCCTCCACCCCACCCAGCTCTTCAACCTAATTTCCTAATTGTGCCAAAGCTTGCCCTATGCATAGAGCCTTGGAAGAAGCCGGATGCGGAGTCCGAAGATCCGAGTTCCAGCCCAGCCAGGAATCCGTGTCCAGCTCCGGCGTTTCATCTCTGAGAGGCTGCTTCATGTTTCCTCTGCACGGGGGGCTTGTGATCTCTTACCAAAACTACTTCTCTTGACATATGCATATCACAGTCTCCCTCCAAAATTACGCCAAATCATCCTTTCTTCTCGAAGTGTTTCCTGACTGTCTAAACGTGACCCTGGTACTGTTGTTGTGAGTGTAGATGTATAGTTATATACAGCTCTGCTCTGAAAAAAAGGATCTGTACTCATTTTCTGAATGGACCGTATCTGCTGTGAGAGGAGGGAATGGAGTCAGATGCTGAACCCACTACCAGCATTGCCGCCTACTGGTTGGGTAACTCTGGCCAGTCACTTCTCTCTGGGCCTCGGTGTCTCCCTTTGTAGCATTCCCGGGTCTGGAATTCCATCCACGTGAGCAAAAATGGATGAGCCACACAGGGACGTGTCGGTCGCCCACGCTTCCCACCTGCATCCCTCCAGGACCATCCCGCTTTCCCAAGTTGGGGATGCCCCCGAGACGCCCTCTCCAACTGGAGACTCACAAGGTGACAGCGAGTAAACGTCAGCAGATTAGGGGCTTCCAAGGCTTACCCTCACGGAGTCGCCCTAATTTCGTCCCTCTTGCCCCATCCGTGCCTCTTCCTGGGCTTAGCTACCCCTTTTCCCCCACCCCGACCCCGCCTTCCTCCTCACCGCCCTGCCCGCCCACCCGCTCGAGCGGCGCATGCGCCGCCCGCCGAGAGTGTGTTTATATATAAGTCCAGCTTCGGCCAGAAACTTCAGTCCGTTGGCTGCGGGGGCAGGTAACAAAGTGGTAAGAAGAAGCTGGGTGCTCCAGTAGCCACAATGGCTGGAGAGCAAGCGGTCACCATAGACGGGTTCCATGTAAGTCCAATTTCAACCTGCTTTTTCTTAAATGTACGAACACATGAACTTAGAGCGCATCCGTTCTCGGAGTGGGCAGAAGCGTTCAGAACATTGGAGGTGCTGGTGTCTGGGAGAAGGGCATGGAAAGTTTTTCGTGCGCATCGCTACTTGGGGATATGGGGTAGAATTGGAATCCTTTTCTCTGAAAGCAAAGGAGAAAAGATTGGGACTGTTTTGATTGCTGCATGTTTCTGCCCCTTGAGTCCTGCGGCGTGCGCCGGGCTTGCATACAGCAAACAAAACATTCTGTGCACAAGTGCAAGAAGGCGTGCGCGCTAGACCAGGTCTCAGACCACATGGGTCTCTTCTTCGGGGGAGTGGGGTTTGTTAAATGCAAATTACGTGAAATCTGAATTTAGAAGTGTGTTGCGGCGGACTGAGTTCCCAGAGGGAAGCAGCGCCCAGGATTAACTAAGGGCAAAGGCGCCTGGGACCCACTCTTGCCGTTGGGCGCGCGTTCACTAAACTCGCGCTGCCCGAGGATCTGTGCCAGTACCCGTGCATAGTGAGAGAAGGGAGGGAAAGACGGGCGGACCCACCGTGCCGTTCGTTCGCCTCGGTGGTCTGAGTATTGCCCGCAGCTGGGGGGTGGCCGGGAGCGGTCTGTGCGCCTCGGGACTGAGGGAACACCTGGAGGGCGTCCGACGCGCCTCGAGTGAGCTTTGCAGTTCGGAAATTTGGGACAGCGCGGAGATCGAAGGAACATAAGCAGTCCCCGCGCTGCAGCACCCGCACCCCCACCCACGAGGTCTGCGGGGCGGTGACGGGAGGGTCGGTCTGGGCGGACACCTGGACAGCCGGTCGCCGCGGCGCGGATTAGCAGGTGCAAGTGGGAAGACCGTTTGGCTCTCACCGAGCCCAATTGCGCAGTTTAACCGTCGGTGGTTTCCTGAAGGCTTTTGAAAAACCCCTTACTAGGAAGGCTTTTCGTTTCCCCCAACGGCGCGCGATTCAAAGGTGCTAGCCGCGGAGCCGCCCAATCTCTCCCTCGCACCCTGTTGGACTGAGCCTGGCGCGAAGCGGGGCGAAACCCCGGGACCCGCTGCCCGCAGGCGTTGAGAGATGGTAGGCAGCGGCGGGACTCTCGAAGCTGGACCACCCGGCCCCCAGCGTGCCCTCCCCCTGGAGGCGTTCAGCTGCAGACCTCCGACCTCACTGACTGGATCAGTGGTGGAGTGTGAAGCGGCCCGGGAGACTGAGGAAATGAAACTCGGGGCTAGAACCACGGGTGCAGACCCCGTGACCTTCCCCTCCCAGGAAAATGCTGGGTTCTCTAAGGCCCCAAACGCGCCAAGTGCTAATGGCTAAAGAAGCAGGCCTCGGAGGAGCGCCAGCTGCGGGGACGAGAGGGGGTGTATACTCGCTTCTGACATCCCCACCCTTTGCAGCTTTACGGCTGCATTCTCCTTCACTAGTACATGCTGCTTGAAGTGCAGAATGGTTTGTGTTTCGATAACGGACAAACGTGGGAAAAACAGTTTTGTGCTTTACAATAAGAGTCTTTGGGGTCTCCTCCCCACCGTCATGCTCCTTCCTCCCCTGTTCCCAGCCCTCACAAATCATCAAGCAGACAGCGCCTAACCCCGATGCGCCCCCACCGTACCTCCCCACCGCCGTGCTTCCTAGGAGCGGCTTCTGTTTTGTTTTGGTTTTGGCCTCGCAAGATTATTTTTTCTAACCTCTGGTGGGCGGGGCAGAGGAATTAGAAAAAATGCGACTTTCAAACCTTCAAACCTTCGTAATCTCCGCGCCCTTTTGTTCTAAACCACGAATTTTGTAACTGGCCCTCCTAACGAGGGATATAATGAAGTGACTATGGGAGAAGGTTGAAATTCTAGAATAGGATGTTAGAATAATGCATGGCCAATCATGGAAATGCTTGCACTGGGTGTATGGGATGTTTGCTACCTCCTGCTGTCCTTGTGGTTTTTGGTCCTCCCCTTATGGTAGGACCCCTGGCCAGCCATATTGACTACCTTGTCATGCTCTGAGAAACTGCCTCTGCAGCACAAGTTTTATTTCCATCAATAAAAGGACATAGTGTGGGGGGTGGGGGGGCCAGGGGGTGGAGTACTTACGTAGGAGCAGAATTTCCTTCATGAATAAGGCTGGGCCGTGCTGGGTCTTATAAATTGCTTGCTTAAAAGACCAGAAGTATTTTTTCTGAACTTGGAGAATAACTGCTGATCTTGAAAGTGAATATCTATTCCTTTGTCTCTTCTGCAGATATACCCATCAGAAAACTACACAGAAGAGGACATGGGCTCAGGCAACTATGACTCCATGGAGGAACCCTGCTTCCGGGAGGAAAGTGCCCATTTCAACAGTATCTTCCTGCCCACTATCTACTCCATCATCTTCTTGACTGGCATAGTGGGCAATGGATTGGTCATCCTGGTCATGGGTTACCAGAAGAAACTGAGAAGCATGACAGACAAGTACAGACTGCACCTGTCAGTGGCTGACCTCCTCTTTGTCCTCACACTTCCCTTCTGGGCAGTTGATGCTGTGGCAGACTGGTACTTTGGGAAATTTCTGTGCAAGGCTGTCCATGTCATCTACACAGTCAACCTCTACAGCAGTGTCCTCATCCTGGCCTTCATCAGTCTGGACCGGTACCTGGCCATCGTCCATGCCACCAACAGCCAGAGGCCAAGGAAGCTGTTGGCTGAAAAGGTGGTCTATGTTGGCGTCTGGATACCTGCTTTCCTGTTGGCTATTCCTGATTTCATCTTTGCCAACATTGAGTTTGGGGATAACAGGTATGTATGTGACCGCTTCTACCCCAATGACTTGTGGAGGGTGGTGTTCCACTTTCAGCATATCGTGGTTGGCCTTATCCTGCCGGGCGTTGTCATCCTGTCCTGCTATTGCATTATCATCTCTAAGCTGTCCCACTCCAAGGGATACCAGAAGCGCAAGGCCCTCAAGACCACAGTTATCCTCATCCTGACTTTCTTCGCCTGCTGGCTCCCCTACTACATTGGGCTCAGCATTGACTCCTTCATCCTCCTGGAAATCATCAAGGAAGGATGTAAGTTTGAGGAGACTGTGCACAAGTGGATTTCCGTCACCGAGGCCCTGGCCTTTTTCCACTGTTGCCTGAATCCCATCCTCTATGCCTTCCTTGGAGCCAAATTTAAAACCTCTGCCCAGCATGCACTCACCTCTGTGAGCAGAGGGTCCAGCCTCAAGATCCTCTCCAAGGGAAAACGAGGTGGACATTCTTCTGTTTCAACTGAGTCTGAGTCTTCAAGTTTCCACTCCAGCTAACACTGAGATAAAAGACTTTTATACATTAAAGAACTTTTTTTTAATGACACATTTTCTTCAGCTATAAAAGACTGACCAATACTGTACAGTTTTTATTGACTGTTGGATTTTTTTCCTTGTGTTATAGTGTTTGTGATTTATTTATATAAATATTTTTTGTTGTATGTTGATGAGTGTCTAGGTAAGAACTGTGGCCAAGTTCTTAGTTGCTATATGTCTGATTGTAGGACTGTAGAAAAGAGCACTGAACATTCCAGGATGTGTAGTGAGTCACTTAAGCTAGAAATGATCCTCAGCTGTTTGTGTATAAATAATCTCTCCATTTCAGTGGAACATTTTCTTTTCCTGTTCTTAAATTGTTTGGTTACACTATATGATTTTTGCTATAGAAGGTGGCACTTAGAACCAAAACCTGAAGTGGTATAGAAATGCTGGTTTTTTATTTTTCAGGAGTGGGTTGGTTTCAGCGCATTATTTGTACAGTCTTGTATTAAGTTGTTAATAAAAGTACATGAAAACTTACTGTTCTGATTTCTGTTGACATTCCTTTAGCTGGCAAAAGTCAAAAATTACAATAATAGATATATTTATGGCATGCCACGTCCTGTCCTGGGTATAGTAGTTATAATATTTTACTTAACCCTAGTCATAACTCTTTCAATAGGTTCTGGCCATAGCATGACTTGCATATTAGCAGGAAACCAAAGCACAGAAAGCCAAAATGACTTAGTCAAAGGCATTTGGTAAGTAGCATAGCCAATATTTCAGATCAGGTAGGATAACTTCAAAATCTCAAGTCTTAACTACTTTTAATGTCTAGAAATTTAGAACTGTCCAGACAATACCTATTCCTATGAAAGATAGTCTTTCTGAAGGATAAATGTACGTAAAGAAGAAAAGGTATGCGATACCATGTTAGATTTTACTACTACTGTTCCTTGTGTAGTCCAGGTCTGTTCCAGGCCAGGCATTGTATGCTTCTGGTGTACTCTTCTCTAACCCTCTCAATGCAGAGAGCATCTCTCCCTTTTCCCAAACAAGGGAACCTGAGGTTTAGACACTTCCTGCAACTTGCACTTTTCAAGGGGTCATACCAAGAACTAATTCCATTTATCATTCCAGCCCTTGCTCTTAGCCATTACCCACTATTGTCACCCAGAACACCTGGTGATAAGTCAACCGAACTGTTATTGAAAATAAAGCCAAAAGTGAATGTTTTTTTAAATAAAAGTAACCATGCCAAAAATACCCCTTTATAATACCTTCTATGCAAATATCAGCACTTAATCTATTGCAACACCTAGCACCTCAAGGGTTTAACCAAGCAGATAAAAGTTAAATTGATGCTTTCAGAGCTCAGAAAGAAAAGTTAACTGAAGCAAGCTTCCCACTGCTCATATTTTACACAAGACTTTGGAGTCTTATGTAACATCACCCATAGCTATTTCCACTATCATTGTGCAAGCCCCAGGCCCTTGAATAAATTTCAGCTCCAGTCCCACTTAAAGAGAATTTCTAAACTGCAGTAGCCATACCTATTCTCACTTGGAATACAAACAGGGCACTCCAGGCATACACTCAAAGAGAATAACCAGGATATAATTAAGGAATATTTGGTCTACTTTTTGCAATTGTTTCTGCCACAGAAAATCCATTTTGGAGGAAAAAATGCAATGTTTTACCTTTCAGAGGCAAATCACATTTGTTGAAGGCAAATTATAGATCCTGTGAAGGGAAATAACTTAATTACTTAAAATAGAATCCAATTTGGCTGTACATTTTTGCTGCAGTCTATGGATCTGGGATAATTCAGAGTGGTATTCCTATTCCACTTGAGAACATAATTGTATTTCAGATGGGAAATCATCCTGAGGTTTCTTGGTTTTCCCTGGGAAGCCTAATTGGATCACCCTTCATTTAAACATAGTTTTACATGGACCCTTTCAAAGGCTTAGTCTAAAGCCATGACCATTGTAAAAGCCTTCACTTGAACTTTCTCTATAAATATTTATTCTTGAGAAGACAATAAAAGAAATCCTTGGGAGGAATTTTTTCTTTCACATCTTGGCTTGAAACCTCGTCACCCCGGATTCCTCTGCTCTGCCCTGGAGTTACAACAAAAGGAGCCAAGCCGAAACAAAATTCCTAGTGTCACTAGCCTTAATGGATATTTCATTCTCCCTTGGAACAAAGATGGGGTATCTCTTTTTCAAAAAGAGAAAAAGCCTTGGTTCTCTCTCTGCCCTAAACACCCCTCCCACCAATCATTCTCTGTCCTGGCCCTGCCATGTTTCAGGGGGCTCCCAAGCATTCCCTGTGTCGTGGTTTGTCCTGCAATGCTGGGAAACCCAGTCTGCTGGCCAGACCTTGCATGAAGTAGCTGATTGTTCCCATTCCTCATCCCTTATGAATGGGACCCTTGAAGGTAGGTAATGTAGATCCAGTTGTATAATGAAAGCTAAAATATTTAAATTGTATGCATGCTGCCAATAATGGCATAAATGTGACATTTGAATTAATAACCTTAAGCCTGTAACTGGAAAGTAAATGTTTTTATCTTGCAAAACCTTTGTTTTCCTAAAATGCCACTTGGCAATTCACCTCCCCCTACTGTGGGATTCTCAGCCTCCTTTTGTGGTTAGGCCTATATTAAAATAATAATTTGGGCACTCTTCTAAGAGGATAGCCTACAGGCTTTATTTTGATAATTCAACTAAGCATGACTTTCTCCTAGGTTATTGTTAGATAGTAAATAAAGGCTCCACAAACAGAATCGAGTTGTCCTATTTCCATGTACTATTCAGGAAGGGCAAGGACCACTGGAGACAAAATGCACATTACCTTAAAAAATAATCTAAGCATCCCCACCACTTAGGAATGTAGCATTGCAGCCTGCCATAGTAGGGATTTGCCTAGCCCTCTTTAAGGTTTCTATTTGGCTGCCAGTCAGTTCTGGAGAGATCCAAACGTTAGCCAGAGCACAGCCTAAGAGGGATGCTGGAGCCTCAACGGCCCATACAGCAGTTGAATCAAACCTTTTCAAAGCATTTTGGACTATCATTGTAGCGGGGGCAAAGGGTGCAGTTGAGGTGCTACTGGCATCTAGTGAGCAGATGACAAGAATGCTGCTAGACATCCTACAGGATATATATACAGGAGAGGCCCTCACAACAATTATCCAGCCCAAAGTGTCAACGGTGTTCATGATTGAGTCACTTTTTAAAGGTGAGGGCCAAGGAGCAATAATAATGATCAAAATAAGATAATAAGAGACATACAGCCACTGTAATTCTATGAAATTATTGGACAGTTTCACAGATTCCCTTCAGCCTCCTTTACTCATTCTCATTTCAGTGCATTCTTACTCCCATTTTACTCAACTCACACAATTCTCTTCCACCCTTATTTCAACATTACTTTGTTGTAATGAACATGTCTGTTTGTTTTCTTCTCTCATGCCATGCTAAGAAGACATCCTACAAAGGGAAAGAAATGGTAGAGGGTAACTGCTGAAGACTCTCTAGTTGCCACCCGAAACCTGTGTCTGTACAGACTGGGAGGTTTACTCATTTAATCCTCACCACAGCTTGTGACTCGATTGGGAACACTTCCCATTTTTCTCCTTTTATTTAAAAAATAAACAAGGAGTGGGGAGGTACCAGCCCATTGTTCCATTGTCTGCAATTGGCTTGTATTAAATTTAAATCTATCCTATTAAGTTTAACAATAAAAATTTTCTAAAGTCTTTTGAAAATCCTTCTTTCAACTGAAATGCAAACTGCTTAGAGCCTGACGTAAGAAATCCATAATATAAGAAGCTTCATAATGGGAAAGACTTTCAAAATCAAACAAATAAAGGTGCTCAACCAAACCATACCAGGTGTTGGGTGTTTATCTGGCAGAGCAGGTCCACGATTAAATTGATTTACATATTACAGTTCAATTAACTAGAACCCAACTCATCAACACTCTTAATTAAAGGGAATTACTTCCTCATATTTGACTTACTCAGAAAGAAATTAATATTTTTTGAGAGCCCACTAAATTCCAGGCAAATTTGTACATATGATCCTCACAAGAGTCCCGTAAGTCAATATTTCTATCTCCTTTTTCAGGCAAGGACACAGCAAAGAAGTTAAACTACAAATAAAAGGGCTATGTTCTTTCCATTATGCATACTATAAATGGCATTGAAACAGAACCCCAAGTTCTCAATATAAAGTGGTGGAAAAAAGTAGATTAATAATAATAAATAATATAATAATAAATAACAATACAAGAATAAACTGTCTCACATACTTACAACTGTAAACCTACTTTTGCCCATCCCTGTATTCAATCCAAACTTTGATTTTTTTTCCTAGGTGGAGTCCTATATAATAACAAAAGTAGTTAATATTCACCCTGAATTGCTATGGCTTCCTACATACCAATGTACTTTGATTATTTAATCTTCCCAACAGCCCTACAGAGTAAGTATTATCATTTGTCTGTTTTACAGATGGAGAAACTGAGGCAAAATTTATCCAATGTTACATATTTAATGAGTAGTAAAGTCTGAATTCAAACTCAGGCAGTCTGACACCGGAGTTTGCCTTCTTAAGCACTGCAGTAACTTTATTATTTTCTATGATGTTAGCCAGAACCATAACCATGAGGTCAAAAAGATCCTGCATGCTCTTCAAGGTTCAGTACTGGCCAGATGCCTGATTGCACTTTTTAAAGTAAAAAAGCAGACATTGACATTTCAAAAAGATTTTCACTGTTAGTCATTAAAATAAGATGTGTTTCAGTATCTGGCACATAGTAGGAGCTCAACAAGTGCCAAATATGTGAATGAAAGAACACTCATAAATTCCTATCCCTAAGAGCACACCGTACTCAAAGCTTCTGATTAATGTTTGGGTGTGACTTGACTTTCTTCCTTCATTCCTTCAGACATTCTTCTATTGATCCGCTTATTGAACACCATAGGTTAGACAGGTATGAAAATTGCTCACAGTATAGTGAAAGATGTAGTCGTTTGGTGTTCTAGAAAATGCTGGGAAGTTAGCCAAGGGACCTCAGAGTTCCCTACTTCCTTGCATTTAAAAAATTAAAGTTTCTAGCAGCCTACCCGATTTTCCTATTAATCGCCCCTCAGTCTTGCTTCCTCTGATTCGCCATTTAGTGGAGAGAAGATCCCCTCCTTACAAGCTGGGCGAGAGGCTCCCAAGACTGGTCTTTCTGTTTCACCAGCCCAAGAGAAGCTATCTGTTTATAAGAATAAAAGCAAAAATTCTGCCAGATCATTGGATATGTGAAAGAACCCCAAAGTCAGTTTCTTGGCCTTTTGTCCATAGGAGACAACTTGTCAAGCCCCTGGGATTGAAGGAGGAAATCAAGACCATTTTGGGGGACTACTTCCTTTGGCAAATCTACTCAACCTATCAGTCCAAAGTGAGCTTTTCCATCCTGAATTCCTA